CCAAGTCCCCACCCACCTCCCAACCACCTCCTCTTTCTCTTCCCTTCCTCACTCCCTCCTCCTGCACCCTTCTCCCCCTTACTCCCTCCTCCTCCTCTGGGTGGTTGGAGGGCGCCACTGGTAGCTCCTACTTCTATTCTCCACCTCTATTTTTTCTGTTTGTCTGTCTGTCTTGTTTTTTCACAGCACAAAATAATCATTAATGTGTCAATGTGGTTTTTTTTACGAAGTTACTATTTCTCTGAACATTCGGGAAAATAAAGTTGAACTCTATTTCTCCGAACGGTTTCCGTTCTCGAGATTTTTTTTTTTTGATATTTGCGATATTTAGGCGTCATCTTTCATTCTGTCAGGACTCGGAAGAAGCATTTTTTTTGCATCGAATTCAATTTCTAGAGCTAGAGATTTTTAAATGTCTGAATATTCAGACACTTCAGTTGTAGTTGGGGCAACGTTCCCGGGCATACTTCATTTGAAAATGCCTTCAAAAGGTACTGCGAGAAAATAAGACTGCTCGACCTAGGCAGTAACCTATTTTGCATTTAGTCACCCGACAAAAACTAAAGTCCTTCATATAAACAAAATAAAATCACGGGTCATTCTATTCGAAAATAACTTTAAAAACTGGAGAACGGAAACCGTTTGGAGAAATAGAGTTCAAGTTTATTTTCCCGAGCGTTCGGAGAAATAGAGCCGGCCTTTTTTTTATGATGGTGTTGTCACCTGATGGATGGTATGTGAGAAGTGGGGCAAGACTGGAGAGAAGAGAAGCAAAGGGCAAGGGGCATAACTCATAATATTATAAACGGTGACCATGCCTGTTATCTAATTGGAGTTCACTTCACATATTAAACATTATTTGTCATCTTCCTCCTCTTCATCTTTGTCGTTGTAATCATAATCCTCATCATCATCATAATCATCATCATTTTCATCATCTTTCTCATCATCTTTCAGTATTTATATTCTTATGATTACCCCCATTCTTTTTCTTCTTTGACTTCTTCTTCTTCTCCTTCTTCTTCGACTTCTTCTTCTCCTCCTCGTTCTTAGTGGGTGGTTGTTGGAGGGCGCCACTGGTAGGTCCTACTTCTTTACTTTCCCCTCTGTTGTTTCTGTCTGTCTGTCTCACTTTTTCCCAGAACTAAATGACGTTTATTGTGTCGATGTGCTTCTCTTTACTCAAACGAACAAACAAACCAACTCCTTCTTATCATTGCTATTACTATCATCTGAAAATAAAAGGCTTCCTATTACAATGTATCTTTTGTTTGTCCCTCCAGTCCCGGGTTGCGTCTCAGAGCCAAGGGGAGAGAAGCTTTCACATTTTCTACCAGCTGCTCTCTGGCATGGACGAGGAGTCACTGAGTAAGGGTTCCATTCTCAGGGACTAATCTAACTTGTAACTGGAGTCTCGAGTTTTTTTATTATTATTATCAGGCCTATTTTTATTATTATAATTATTATCATACTATTATTATTATTATTATGAATACATTGAATAATAATAAGCATCATCATCTTATTATTATAATCATTATTGTTGTTGTTCTTGTTGTTGTAGTTATTATCAATACTATTATTATTATTATTATTATTATTATTATTATTATTATTATTAAGCGTTCCAAAAGAGCGAAGCAAAGATACCCTAAATGTCACTGAAGAGCCTCAGCATAAATCCCTCATGAATATAGGAGAACTTAGCAGGTGACAGACTTACTTAGAGAGCAGATAATAATTGTAATGATGATGTTTTTGTTTTTGTAAAGTGTTTTACGGCGCTCGCAACTGCATAAGGTCATATGAGCGCGCGGGACACACCTAATATTTTCA